CCGCGACCTCCTGAGACACGTCGTCGCCGTCCGCCGCGTAGTCGTCTCCGAACGGGTCCATCGCTGCGTCGGAAGTGAATGTGCCCAAGAGCGAAATCGGAGCTCTTCGCGTTGGCCGTCGACGCTGTGTGCCCTTCTTCGAGAATGGACGGCGAACCTGCAGTACGGACTTATGCCGAAGCAGAGTGTGCGATCGTGCGGGATCCCTTGCGTGTGTGGTACACATCCCGTGTCGAGCGGTTGTGCCTCGAGATTGTGTGTCGTCCACGAGGTGGTGTGGTGCACGTACGCATATGCGTCGAAACTGGTGGCCAGCGTTCGAACAGAGTTTGTGCGTGGGGACTGCCCGTTGTCCATAGAGTCGCGTCACGAGGTCGCCACAGTAGGAAAGCCGAATTACGCCGACGTCGAGATGGTGAAGCAGAAAAACCACACCGCCCGTAACAATACGGTGAAGGCCCACCGCAACGGGATCAAGAAGCCAAAGATCCACCGCTTCACCTCGACGCGAGGCGTACGTGTTGTAGTCACAGCTGGCAACAGTCGATATGAGGCGAGTGCCTTTGCTAGAGCTGAGCACGAACTGACTCGCGTGTGGACTGTCATGGTCCTTTGTTGATGTGCTGCAGCTGGACCCCAAGTTCTTGCGCAACCAGCACTGGGCCAAGAAGTTTGACAAGAAGCACCGCAACCGCAAACTGAAGAACAAGGTTTGTGGAAACGCCACTACTGTTTGCATCATTGATGCACCTCTTCGTACTCGAGAAGAGGCGCATGTGCACTTGCGACTCGGTATCTGATCGTTCTTGTGTGTCGTGACGTGTCTGTCTATACTACTGCAGGAGGAATAAGTTTGTGCCTTGTCGACGAACTAGCAGAGACGTTTCGTGCATGTCAGCTGATTTCGCATGATCATCGAGATCGTTCAGTCGATGGGTGGGCGATACGCTGATTTTGTGAACAGCCGGCAATGACGCAGTGAGTCTAGGATTTTGTGGAGAGGTAGCAGGTGTGGCGTTTGCAGGCATAGCGAGACTACTGCAGTGGTGTGACTGGGTAATGGTGAGGTTCCGTCTTGGGAATCGGTAATAAGAGGCGAAATTTGGCGGCTTGGCAATATCTATGATGTTGACAGTGTTTCTTCTTTGCTGGATTGTGGATGCGACGTCGTCAAACGAATTGGCAAAAGAAGTGGAGCAATACTTACGGATTAGAGGGTGTGCAGGATGAGTTCCAAGAGTGTGGAAATGACGATCGAAAGTATTTATCTACATTCTCCGAACAAAACGTGAGCACAGAAAGCAAGGAGCTGATCCATATCTCAGGACGTTCCAGTACACCCTCTTCTCCACCCAGCGAATGTGTAGCATTAGGCTGGCAATGCATGTGCTAGTAGAGGGAACAAGTAGGGTAAGTGTTGCGCATTGCTGTAGTGTATCATCGTGTTGTAGTTGGGCGAGACTGGTATTTGCTGTTCGATATTGAAGGCTGCCAAGCGTGGTAAATTTATTTCGTTTTTTTAGCAAGAGATCTGAACTAGACCCTGATGCGCGGCAAGTGCGTATGCTGTATGACTAATGTCCGGACGGCGGACCGTTACCGATTGTTCATTGAATCATCAACACACGTTGTGTGCAATTAAGTTCTTGCCGCCTTCACTCATTCGCTTGATTCCCACCGACCGGTTTCATTTAATTGTGGCAGCAGACTTGCTGCATCATTTGTTCACGAAGGTTTATGTAAGGATAGCTTCGTTTTTGCTCAGTATGGCAGTGACAATGAACTGAGACACGGGGCAGCGCGGAGTCTACAAAGAATGCAGTGAAGTGTAATTTTCGGCAATGTTGGGCATTCAGCTTGTAACTCTTCAAGCACCGCTGGCCAAGTTCACTCTTTGCTGAGTCGATGGCGCCCTTGCGGCAACAAGGTGACCCCGTTTCATTTTATTGACATTAATGAATGTCAAACTAAACGATACCTGTGCAGGTAACCATGTTAATGTTGATGTATTGAGCTAAATTCTGTATCTTCTGTTCATTCATTGGGTTGACATAGACAGTTATGTCGAACAACAAAGTGCCCAATCAATGACGGACGCGTGCAACCGATAGCTAGCAGCTAGTTACAATTGTGCATTTATAAAATATGCATAAGGATTGCTTAGGCAGCTTCATGATAACCTCAACAATATTCAATACCATTCCCTCTTTGTAGGCAGATATGCTTTCCGCAGTCACGACATGATACGATTCTGACTAGATTTCGTAGAAAGCACTTGTGTAGCTTTCCCTACTTCTTTTGCGTCTCTTAAACCCACCTCAAGAGCAGTAGATAGCCGGACTCGACGATTAGAACTTGAGGTGTTATCTAATCGAGTGTTAACACGACGGGTCATAACCAAGCGAGCTTAATCTCGATCTCGAAGGATCGAAATCGACGAGTGCTACTCAGTGAGTGTTGCCTCGACGAGTCGATTCAAGAACAATGACCGGCGCTGATCGCTGCATCATGTGGTCCCTCTATAGAGTCAACGAAGCGGCCCATAACGATTAACTTAAAGCAGATACATGTAAAGCTGACGCGTCGCTTTACGATACCCTGTACAGACCTGATTAATCTATAAATGTCGACCGAGTTCCTAGCCTTGACGCAGACTTTGCATTATCGCATTTCCGCAACAGGTGCATTAATCGCAGTGGTATTCCTATGTTTCTGTTTCAACACGCACCTCAAGCTGATCACAAATTTAACAGGGTCGGGAATATTATGATGAAGAAAAGCTTGTTTAACTAGTTCTTGGAATGGAGCTGCTTGACGTAGCGCGAGACGTACCATGGAAAGCGAGGAGCTGCAAGTGCGCCTAGAAGGCGTCACCCAATTTCCGATTATCGTGACCATTTTTCCGCATATCCATGTTCGACCATATATTGAGCTTTGTGAACAAATCGTGGAAAAATTACTTTAAGCCATCAACTCCTATGGATGAAGTCTCGTGTGTGACGGATTAGCACGCTTCTGTTAATAGACCTTCAATGATGTCCAATTCTGTTTGTAGATAACGATACTTTGCCTGTAAAGGTGGCATTCATCTGAGCTTCAAAAGAGGCCCTCATTGATGAATATCTGTACGGGTAGGTCGGATAATGATACCAGAATAGGTCTGTCGTCTTCTACAGCATTCACAAGTGAGTGAGGTTTAGGTTGTGTCGGCGAAGCAAGTTTATTTTACAAGAATTTACCGGGCCGGTAAAACTACAGTAGGACAGTAAGTGTACATAACTCGATATGGGAACTTGCTACTTGACATCATGAACGTTACACCCCCAGGGAGAAGGCAATTCGAGTGAAGGTGCAGCAGAAAAGCTTGAGATATGCGTTTATGATATCAAAGGCCCCAATCGGCCGCCGCGGCAAGGGAATGGTTTGTGGCTATGTGAATATTGTCTTTCTTCCATGACCTAACAGATAGGTATAGCATAGCCGCCAGGAGGTCCGTAATCCATAAACGTGCTCAACATACATTGTCCGGTGAGGCAACGAGCCATTCTTCAAGATCCTGGTCCAGCTTTTTTCCCTTCGAACATCACTTTTGAGATAGCGCACGTTTGAGTGTTCAAGCTGTACCCACACTAGACAACGTCGTGCCCGCACTTCCTCGATAATGTGTACACTACATTGCGAATCAATGATTCGGGGAACTTGTCAGTATCGCAGCATGCCAAGGCAGCACCAATATGTTGTTTTGGCCGATATAGCGTATATCGGCTACGTTGACACGACGAAGCTGTGTATTTGGCCTTTACCTTGGGAAGATACAGTAGTGACCTTACAAGCTCTTGGGAAGAAAACGTTCTGCCACTAAGAGATGATTGCTTTTTTGCTTCTTACACAGTCTTCTTCCATAAGGTCAAATGAGTGCTGGTCTCCATCGGTATACGACTCGCGTGAGCTGCGCCACGATATAGAATGGTTATATACAAATGTCGGTATCATGTCCTCGATGTACGATGATGGAGTCACTGTAATGTTACACCTCCAATCCCATATAGATAATGGGAAAGTCATGGAGATCAATGGATGTGGAAGTAAACCAAAATTCGATCGATTGGTCCCGCCTATAAGATAGAGATGGAGAGTTCGCAGAGGCCTAGTCAGTTCTTTTGTCTATCGATCAACAAGTTTATAGTGCGACACATGTTGACAGGTGTATCGCAGTGCCACACACAATCAAGTATTCTTCGGCGCACTTGTTGCTGTATATAATTGACGCAAAAATGTCGCTTGAGTCTTTGATCAATCCGTAGGACTGCCCTTTGGCTTGCTTCAACATCCCAGACAATACTTGGCCACTAGCTTACTGATGTCTATCCCTTATAACCAAATCTTGTGCCTATACAAGATATACCATGAGTAAAGCGAAACTTGGGATTGTAGTAATGGTCCCGCGGCGTATTACTATGATCCCAAGTTTTGCTTCGCTGTTCATCTGAGTCCACGCACATTGCAGTCATATGCATCTGCCGTTCTGTCGAGTAGACCGACGACAATGGACTGTGGTCATGCTCGATAGCTTCTGTTGGGGAACGCAAACGCCGCATTCCGAAAGCCTTTGTGATGAAGCGGTTGGAAGTATTTGTCCGAAACTGACCGTAAAAACTGCTGCATTCGTAAAAGCGCTGCAAAGGTCAGGCTCTGCGCTCGAACATTGCGACGACTCGTCTATCACTTACATCAACAACAGACGTTGAGCTCTGGAATAAGACATGGCAAACCCGTGTATCCCATTATTGCTTAGTTCTGCCCTCACGTGACGGGTTGGGCCATGCTCGATATGCGTTGGTCCACCATCGAGCCACGCGTGTTTCTCGAGTCAACTGGTGTTGTCTGCGCATGGCGTAAGGAGCGTGTCAAGAGCAGCAAACAGCATGGGCAATCAACACTAGAAAACACAATAACTCCATTTATGTTTACCCCATGAGCTGCAACAACATGATCTGCGATTATGATGCATTATCCGCTGTCGTCTCGGCACTTGAATCGTTTTTCTCTTCTGCCTCCTTCACACAGTCCTTGGCGTCGGCAGCAGTATCCTTTTCCTCTGGCTTACCATCGGTCTTTGCTCCTTTCTTGGCGGTTTGCTGGCCGGATTCAGGAGGATCAATCATCGAGCGCACATTGTACTTTCGAAAGCGATGGAAGTCCGTCAAGATGCTGAACCCGCACGTGTTCCGAAAGACCTCCACCAGCAAAACTGAGCGAGGCGTCGTCAAGTTCACTTTCGTCTTGTCTTCTCCCACCAGCTCGACGAGCGCATCGATGACGTCCATACTGTTGAGGTTCGTGCAATTGCGTCGCTTGAACTCCACTGCAAACTCAAGCGGCTCGTCCGTCCCGGCAGCCGTTTGCTCCTCAGCATAAGCTGCCACATGCGCTTTGATCATCGGAGCAGCGAGCTCCTTGATCGCCTCCACACTCGAGTAGCCGACCTTCTCCAACGGGATCATGCGCATGATGAACCTCGACGCAAAGTCCTTCGAGTGCTCGACCTGCTCAAGGATCTTGCCGACAAGAGCGGTAGGAGACAAACGGTCATCCTTCACCTGAATTAGCACCGCGCCTTTGACTCCCGTGTCCAGAGGCGTGAACCTGCCCGTCTGGCGCTTAATTGCCTGCGTCTGCACGGCTTCAATCTCCTCTTGCAGCTTCTTCTGCACCGAGTCGCTCTTCTCCTCCGTTTCGTGCTCGTCTCCTTCCTGCGTTGTGTCTTCTGCCAATGGGAAGAACCGGTCGGCCACTTCGTTCAGAATATTGAGCGCGTCACTGACGCTCTGTCGCTCTCGGATCTTGTCGCACGTCACGAGCACTGCGCCGTGCCCTTTCGCGTTCGCAGCAGCACCTAACGCTCCCCGATGGCGCTTACTGGTGCCGTCGCGGCCGCCCATCCACTGCTTCTTGCGCTTGTCCTGCGCTTCCCGTCCCATCGCAGCGCGGGCACCTGCTACACTAAATGACTGGCTGGCAGGCCCTGAAGCGCTTTCAACCAATCCCCACGCTGCAAACTGTACCCAAAACTCCTTTTCCACGAATCAAATGCGGTAAAAGCACTGGCTGTCCGCGCTTGCCATCCTCCGGCTTGACCACCATGACAACGACTGCCTTGGCGGACCACGTGCTGGTCCTGGGCTCGAGTTACGCGAACGAACTGGTGGTCGTGGACGCTGCGACGGGCGGCCACTTGACGTGCTTGAAGAACTGCCGCGCGGCGCTCAATGGCGTCCACGTGGTCCCTCGGACGGACCACGTCGTGGCCGTGCAAGAGGGCAAACTCGTGCTCAACCTCTACCGCTGGGGCACGAACATGCCCGTGTTCAAGTGCCACGTGGCCGAGCGCATGGGACCAGTGACGGCGTCGAGCTGTGGCAACTTCCTCTTCGCGGGGGCCGACTCGGGCAAAGTGTACGTGTGGGACGTCAAGACGGGCGAGTTGGTGACAGTGTTCGATGCGCACTACAAGCGCGTGTCGGCACTGGCACTGACGGCCGAGGACTCGCACTTGATCACGGCGGGCGAAGACGCACTGGTGCACGTGTGGCGACTGCTCGACTTGCTGGACGAACCGGACGTGGCAGCCAGTTTCCAACAGGGCGTGACACCCGTCGTGAGCTTTACGGACCACGTGCTGCCGGTCACGTCTCTGCATGTGGGTCTGGGCGGCGTGAACGCCCGAGTCTACACGTCGTCGCTCGACCGCACGTGCAAGATCTGGTCGCTGCGCTCGGCCCAGTGTCTCTACAGTGTCTCGTGCCCGTCGTACGTCAACGCGTGCAGTGTCGACCCCATGGAGCAGCGGCTGTTCATGGGCTGTGGCAACGGCGAGATCTACGTGCTGGACCTGCACGCGGCGGCAACGACAGTCACTGCAGCTACAGCACGTGTGGTCAATGCCTCACTGGGTGCAACAACGTCGGTTGTCAAGCCAACGGACGCGTCGCCATGGGGCCCTGACGCTTTGCTGCCCGACTCGTTCAAAGGCCACGAAAGCAGTGTCACCACGTTGAGCGTACACGGCAGCGGTGCTTTCCTCGTGTCGGGAGACGAGAGCGGCGTTGTGCACGTGTGGGACAGCCTCAGCCGCCAGTCGCTACGTACGATCAAACCGTTCAAAGGCAAAGTCACGGCTTTGGTGCTGCTTCGTCGTCCGCGACACCTGTTGCATCCGGCCAAGACGCCGTATACCATGGCAAGCGATGACCCGGACGACATGTTGGCCACGCCGCTCCCTGTTGCACCGCTCAAGAAGTACATGAACGCGACGACCGACGAGTGAGGCCGAAGGCGAGCGTGATGTGCTATGAAATAGACGTTGCATGGCCCTTCGTATTGTCCGTCACCTCGTGCGTTCGAGGACAGCGAGAGCTTTGCGTCTCAGTCAGTCTGTTCACGTCCTTGGGACGCGGCGAAGAACAAACCTGCGCTCACGTCCATCCCATAAACGAACAAACGGCAGCAGCAGCAGCACATTGGACGTAGTCAACGACAATGGACGAAAGCAGCAGCACACCACGTGACGCTCAGCCTACAGGCGCTTTCGAAGAAGCGTTGACGCCAAAGCTTCAGGACCGCATGGACCAGGCGACACAGCACCAGGAACGTCAACTGGATACTATCTACTCGAGTGTCAAGCAGCTCCGTTGTGCAGCAGACGCAGCGAACGACGAGGTGCTGGTGCAGAACGCAATGCTGGACGAGGCCGTCGTGCAGGTCAACGAGACCGAAGCGGCCGTGCAGCAGCAGACAAAAGCTGCTCGCAAAGTGGTTCACCGGTACCGGAAACTCGGCTGCTACTACGTCGTCCTCGTGCTGCTGACTGCTGCATTGCTCATCGTTGTTTTCATCTAACAACCTGCGCACGAACGACAACGACAATGGGAACATCAAACGTTGAACCAAAACATGTTAAGTGTTATTGCACCAACGACTTGAGTCCTACCGCCGTCGAACTTGACAGCACCGCGTGAGAGCCACGTGAGCAATAGCAGAGCATTGCGGTGGAGAAAGCAGCACGAAGATGCTCGTCAGCACAATGAAAGCGCTCTGGCAAGAGCGCTATCTCTGTCCACAGCTCAAGTAGTCCCAGCACTCTTTCAAGTTGTCCGCAACCCATGTCGCAACGAAGGAGGCAGCCATTTCTCGCCTCTTGCTTAGTAACGGTAGGCTGCTGGCTTGTAAGGGCCTGTGGGCTTGACCCCAATGTACTCGGCCTGCTCGTCCGACAGCACCGTGAGCTGCGCGCCCAAGTTGTCTAGATGCAGCCGCGCGACCTTCTCGTCCAGCTCCTTGGGCAGCACGTACACTTTGCCCGTCGCGTACTTGCCCGTGTCGCGCTCCTTCCACAGCTCAATCTGCGCCAACGTCTGGTTCGTGAACGAGTTGGACATGACGAACGACGGGTGGCCCGTAGCACAGCCCAAGTTCAGCAGGCGGCCTTCGGCCAAGATGATGACTGCGTGGCCGTCGTCAAAGATGAAGCGGTCGACCTGTGGCTTGATGTTCTGGCGCTTGGCGATCGCCGTGACGCCGGCCATGTCGATCTCGTTGTCAAAGTGCCCGATGTTGCCCACAATGGCATTGTTCTTCATCTTGAGCATGTCTTTGGCCATGATAATGTCCTTGTTGCCAGTCGTCGTGATGAAGATGTCGGCCTGCGCGACAATCGTTTCGAGTCGGACGACTTGGAAGCCCTCCATGCACGCCTGCAGGGCGCAAATAGGGTCCACTTCGGTCACGTACACGACGGCGCCGGCCGCTTTCATGGCCTGTGCACTGCCTTTACCCACGTCGCCAAAGCCACAGATGACCACGCGCTTGCCCGCGAGCATCACGTCCGTGGCCCGCATGATGCCGTCCGGGAGCGAGTGGCGGCAGCCGTAGAGGTTGTCGAACTTGGACTTGGTGACCGAGTCGTTCACGTTAATAGCCGGGAACAACAACGTGCCGTTCTTCTCCATTTGGTACAGTCGGTGGACGCCCGTCGTCGTCTCTTCCGACACGCCTTTGCAGCGCTGGGCAATCTGCGTCCACTTGGTCGGCTGCGTCTTCAACAGCCGCGCAATGATACTTAGCACGCACTTGAGCTCGGCATTGTCGGTCGAACTCGGGTCCGGCACTGCGCCCGTTGCCGCGAACGCCTGCTCGGCTTTGAACCCCTCGTGGATCAAGAGCGTCATGTCGCCGCCGTCGTCGACAATGATGTCGGGGCCGTCGCCCTTGCCGTCGTCCGAGGGCCACGTGATGGCGTTCAACGTGCACTCCCAGTACTCCTCGAGCGTCTCGCCCTTCCAGGCAAACACTGCGGCCGACCCGTCGCGCGCAATCGCTGCCGCCGCGTGGTCCTGCGTGGAAAAGATGTTGCACGAGCACCAGCGGATGTCGCCGCCCAAAGCCTTGAGCGTCTCGATGAGCACTGCCGTCTGGATCGTCATGTGCAACGAGCCCGCGACGCGCGCGCCCTGGAGCGACTGCTGCGGGCCAAACTCCGTCCGGCTCTGCATGAGTCCCGGCATCTCAATCTCCGCCATTTCAATCTCTTTGCGCCCAAAGTCCGCGAGCGAAATGTCCGCCACGCGGTAGTCCCCGAGCGACGCCATCGAGAGAGTCGGTACGAAGTGAGCGAGCGGACAGGCAGAGCGGTGACGAAGGAGCAGCGGCGCGCTGTGTCCAGTGCGAAAGCCAAAGTGCCGTCATCGAGCGAGCGACAGAGCGACGTGGCGGCGCACGTGACAAGGAGCGGACGACGCTGCACCACCCATTTTGGGAGCGCGGTATGCTCGATCGTAGGTTTCGCGGGATGTAGCCACTTACGTGGAGGCGTGTCGTCGACCTGTGTCGTCTTCGCCGATCGCCGATCTGCATCTGATTCGCTCGAAGGCGTGGGCAGCTGGGCGTATACGCTTGTATACATGTATACCCGAGGTTGCACTACCGAGAGGGCCGGAGTTTCGAATACTCTTTCGAGTGCTCGCGATCCCCTCGAGGCATAGCAGCGACGTGGCCGCCGCGTTGCGTCGTCGTCGACGATCATGACGAAGGGACGCGACACGACAGCACAGTGCGCAAACAGCGGTCTTCGTAGTAGCATACCGACGTGCAAACGAAAGCGGAGGAGCAACGAACGCGCTTCGACTGCGGATAGAGCAGATAAGAAACTGAAGAGCTCTCCCATGTCGTTGTGGCTCTCTGCTAATACTCAACGCCAACAGCACTCTGACCGGTTGACCACTGCTGTTACTACTACTACTACTACTACCGTTACCCCTGAGCCGAGAGCTGTGCATTCGTATCGAAATCGGACAAATTTCTTTTTGTCTCCGGGTAAAGTCCAGCCCGTCGTCACGCAATCGTACATTGATGTCGGCCAGCGCAGCTTTGGCAACCACGTGGTCTGTCCCACGTGCAAACTGCTATACACTGTAGGAGAAGAAGAAGACGAGAAGGAGCACGAGAAGTTTTGCAGACGCTCGCAACACGGTGTTGCTTTCTCCAAGTGGAAAACCGAGCGCGTGTTGAAATCGTTTCCAGAGACCGGCGCGAGGATTGTGGAGATCCGACGAGACGACGCAAGTGCTCATGTGAAGAAGCTCTTGGAAATCAAGGCCGTGCTGGATGATGCACTGGGGTGTTGTGACAAAGAGACGTTTCTGCAGCGCAGTCATTTTATCTACATCCAAGACCATCGAGTAGTTGGTTGTGTCAATACTGAGAGCATTACAGAAGCATTTAGGTTGGATACGAGTACGTCGTCAGTCGTGGCGAATTCGGACGGGGAGAGCTGCATAGCTGGACGCGGCGCTCTTACTGCGTCTATCATGTCGCAAAAGGCACTTGTCGGTATTTGCCAGATTTGGGTGCATCCGCAGTTCCGAAGGAAGTGCATTGCGACTCGAATGGTGGACGTTGTGCGCGAAAAGTCAATCTATGGCATGCACGTTGCCAAACAGCTCATTGCCTTTGCGCAGCCTACCGAGAACGGTCTGCAGTTTGCAAAGAAGTACGTGGAGCCGTGCGAGATGCTTATGTATTGAGATTACGAGTGCAAGGTGTCACCAACGTCAGTTGTGGTGGTGGTGGTGTCAACTCTCGCGTTGGCAGTGTATGATGTCGTGGATTGGAACTCTTTTTGCGCGGCTTGTTATCGGTCGTACTGGTGGTGGCCTTTGGCGCAAGTTTGTATAAAGTGAAATCGAGATCATCTACTTCAAGCACGTCGATTGGATCGTTGCCCACGTCCAGTCGCATCTGTTCGTCTAGTGACAGTTTCTCCTCGTAGAGCGTCTCTACCGCTTGAGTCTTATTGGAGCAAGACATGGATTCAAAGCTGTCAACAGAATATGATAAAAGAAGCGACACTTGTATGCGTCACCCCTCAACGCCGAGACAAGTGACGAAGCCGTGACTGTTGGCAAGTAACACCATCTTCATATCCATCATATTGGTAGCCGCTGTTAGCAGAGGTTGCCTGGCAGAAGCTGTTTACATGTGCACAACAACAGATCAAAAATTGATTGCTGTCCAAGCCACTCGAGTAGTGAACATCGTGCGAGTGGTGTGGAATCGTCATAGATGATGTACCTCAATTGACGGCATGTAAAAGTATGCATAGCTAGGATAGACAAAAGAAGCTGACGCAAGACGGGAGCAAAACAACGAGCCATCTATCGGTCAAGAGGAAAAACAAATCATCAGCAAAGCCGTTGCGTAAAAGCTTCCACTTTTGACAACCGACACGAAGCATGAAATAGGTAAGTGTTCAGCCATCGAGTCTGCACTCGGAAAGCCATTGTCTACGAACAAACAGCTCGCAGAGTCGAGCCTTCAGTATCAACGGCGACCGTTGTTGCCCATACAAAAGCTGCTCCAAGTGATGTAGGCAAGTATCGCACCTGTCGAAATCTGGCTGACTTGTGACATGTCCTTGGCTACAACATTCTCTACGTTTGTCGGTAAAAAATAGCCAGCGTTGGGATATTCATCTTGGCACTTTGGATCGAACATACACTGCAACATCACATTGACGTTGGATCTCACAGACCCGCACTAACCTTATGGGTCGACGACATCTTCGACCACGAGTCATCTCACATTCGGAGGCATCGTGGTAGTATACGCGAATAGCGAGATCACGCATGTTATCACTTTGCCGTCGACGCATTGAGAGCTCCAGAACCAGAAGAAAAATGTCTGGTTCTGTAACCCAAAATGAGTCATGTGTACAGACGTAGGCGCCGTCTTGTTTCTTGATGAAGTCATGGGGCGCACAAAGATCAAGTGTGCGCATAGGTACTACAAAAGCGCATTCGTCGCGTCCGAGTGGGGTAGTCCAATCTGAGTATGAAGCCAACTTGCACCATGCTACTTGTACGTTCGGGTCGAGACTGCCTCGATGTGCATACGCAGATTAGCTTCAGAGCAGTTACACTACCTATGCACCAATACTCACCGCTTATTGTGGATGCCTCGAACGTATGCATATGGATACGTCAACATGATCTGCGCGAAGGTAACACTACCCTGGCTATCATATCGGGTTCTGCACCAATCGCATAACAACTAAACACTGACACTTTGTCACTGTGATGAACTCATGACGTGCAGCCGACCTCAAGAACCGTCAGGCGACGAAGGAGAAACGATGTGCACTTGACTGGTGGACCTCTGAGCGTACAGTCGAAAGCGTGAGGAAGGGTACATGACCTTTTTCACGACAGAGCATTTCGGTCGCGACGATCATACGTCGACAAGCAGCTGGATGACATCTGCCAAGGGCCCCTTTTACTGAAAGACCAGTTTACAGTGGCTCGACAGCCGCGACAGCATTGCGGCACCATTTCTCATCGCATGCATGTTTTCTAGGGTGAACTTGATGTTAGGCCATGCGTTCTGGCCAGATCGTCAGTCTCTCTCGGATCGTAGTATGGCATCGCCGGCGACCGCAACGACCAATGCTGAAGACACCATAGACGGAGAATGCGGCACATAGGTACGTTGCTGTGCATGGCAGCGTATGCGTGCGAGCGTGCACAGAATGCTGCGCTGATGCAGTCATATGCAGGTCATGGTCTTATGAGGTTAGCCCCTGTCTTGACTTCTACAGTAAACACTGCTCAAACAGCCATGCCACTTGCGCTCCAATTGTTGCCTCCTCCTTCATTACAACGAAATAATGAATGTACCGGCAACGAATGCCCTCCAATTCAATACAGCGATAGGACCAGTTGTTGTGTCGGGAGCTCAGCTTTGTCATGTGATGGTGCTTTAGGAGCTCAATGTGACTTGGGTGCATGCGCGGTAAGCATGTATCTGCAAATACAAGAGCGCAAGCGCGTAGGGTCTCTACAAGTATCACGAGAGGAAGCAGCAAGAACTTGACAGCTCGATCCTCCCGCATGGCAACTTGCACACTACTTTGCAGAGTCTATCACAACGTCGCTGTGATCAGAGCCTATCACCCGTACGGGCCCAGGAAGAACCACTCGCTCGTATGTCCACGTGTTGTTTTTTCACGCAACGACTTCGTTGCAAGCGCGACCAGCGATCACTTTAGCAGATCAGTCCTTCGTTTGCGGACAGCAGCACAGAGCGTCGACACGCACTCGTGGCATCGAGACGTTGCAGCTGCCACCGCGTTCGTGGATCAGGTGGGACTACGCTACGATACAAAACATACCGCATCTTCGGTACTTCTCTGCCTCTGTTGGCAGAGTCTCCCCGCGACTTGTGCAAACGTTCAGCGGTCCCCTCTTTCCCACCCCGAACGAGGAGCCGACCAAACGACTACAACACGCTGTGGTTTTGCCACTATAGTCGTGAGCAGCAGCCTCAATGGCGTCGAGGCAGCCGTCTCATTACGTGGCTGCCATCCAACAAACACCAACCAGTGTCCAGGTGTCAACCTGGCAATCGGTACAGCACGACGTCAGGCAAACTGCATCCGTTGCTGCTGCTGGTGGTCCAAGGCACGTTATCGTCCCGCAGCTGCACATCTGTTTCGCCCGTGTAGCGGCAGAGGACGGCGGCGACAATCCCTTCGCCGCTGTGGTAGCGGCTGACTGACTGCCTGGACGTTCGTTGCATGCTGATACCGCGTCAGAGAGAGAGAGCTTTGCTGCCTCTGTGCTCTGGTTGTTTGTTGACAACACCCGGTCGTGCACAGGCGCTCGAGCGATTGCAGCACGTGTTGCAGCTACAGCGACAAAGGTAGACTTGAGCTCACCACCCGTCTGCATCTGCTCGAAGAGTGACTCGCAGGACTGCACACGTCCAGCCGTAGCCTCCACAGGTGTCTCCTTCCTCCATATAAACGCACAGGCCCTTCGCACACGCGCTCTCTCGTTCACTTTCCATTCCGACGCACTTGTCTCGCCCTCTTTGAGTCGCTTGTGCCTCTATCGTTGCCATGAAGTTGTCCTTGCGACCATTGACTGCAACACTAGCGCTGCTGCAGCTCGCACTGCCGGCTGCAACTGCTGTCACTCACGTTCGCAACACAACCAACAGCGGCAACATCGACGCTGTCGATGACGTCAAAGACGCCAAGTGGCACTGGGACAACGACCGGCTCCCCGGCGTCCACTCTGCGCTGCAGGCCGCCTTCTTCAACACGTTCAAGCCCGACGACGTGACCCAAACATGCGCTGGCAGTGATCGACCTGCCACAGCGCTCGCGACCCGTCCAGTGCGTGGCGCAAACCTCGGCGGGTGGCTCGTACTCGAGCCGTGGATCACGCCGACGCTGTTCTACCAGTTCCTCGGCACGCCCGAGCGCTTTGGCGCGCAGGCGCCCGAGAAGACGGCCATGGACATGTACACGTTTTGCACGGCGCTCGGGAAAGAAGAAGCGAACCGCCAGCTGCGCATTCACTACGACCAGTGGGTCACGGAGAAGGACATTGCTGCGCTCGCGGAAGCCGGCATCAACTCGCTGCGAGTGCCCGTGGGCGACTGGATGTTCAACCCGTACGAGCCCTTCATCGACTGCACAACTGGTGCCGTCGAAGCGCTCGACCGCGTGGCGGACCTCGCGCTCAAGTACAACATGGACATTCTGCTGGACATCCACGGCCTCATTGGCTCGCAGAACGGCTTTGACAACAGCGGCAAGTCCACGGCCGTCAAGTGGACGTCCATTGCGAGCACGCAGCCCGTGGGCACAACGACGTTTGAGCACTGGCCGATCCGTCAGGCCGAGTGGGTCGGTACGTTTGACCCTGCAACGAACACGTACAGCGACGTCAACTACGAGCACCTGACGCACTCGCTCGACACTGTCACGGCCATTGTCGACCGGTACGCCGGCCACGCTGCGGTCCGCGGCCTCGAGCCCGTGAACGAGCCCTGGGAACACACACCTATGGCGCTGCTCCAGCAGTACTACTGGAAGTCGTACCAGCGCGTGAAAGCGCGGGCTCCGCACTGGCAGGTTGTGCTCCACGACTCGTTCCGCTTTGGCGTGCAGTTCTGGGCGCACTTCCTGCGCGGGTGTCCCGACGTGGCCCTCGACACGCACGTGTACCAGGCGTGGCACTCGCCGGGCACAGCGGCCGACTACTTTGCCAACGCGTGCGAGCAGAAGCACTCGATCGCTGCGATGGAGACCGCCTCGATGCCGGTCATTGTCGGCGAGTGGTCCCTCGGCACGGACAACTGCGCCATGTGGCTCAACGGCTTCAACGACAACCTGCCGGGCTTCCCGACCGTCCCGTGCCGCCTGACCGAGTGCCCCGTGCACAGCACGTACCTCGCCGAGGGGTTCCCCGGTACGCCGTTGGACCGCACGAAACCGCTTCAGGGCCCGTACGGCACCGGGGTGTCCGGTCCGGCGGTCGGCCTGTGCCCCGTCACGAGCAACACGTCGTTCGGCCAGCAGAGCGACCGCGACGAGCGCACGTTCACGCGCAGCCTCAACCTCAAGAAGCTCAACGCCTTTGCAGCCGGTCACGGCTGGTACTTTTGGAATTTCAAGACCGAGTTGGGCTCGCGGTGGAGTTTCTTGGACCTCGTGCGCCGCGGCGCGTTCCCCGCAAACGTCTCGAGCTACGACAGCGATGCCGAAGTCACGAACGCCTGTCGCGACGAAGATGCGGGTGCGTTCACGTGTGGGGCCAAGCGCGGCGTACCTGTCAATGACCTGCAGCGAGGACTCGACTATGCGTGTGGTGAGGTGGACTGCGCGGGCCTTGGCAGCCGCTTTGAGACGATTGAGGAGCGCTGTGACTGGGCGTTCAACGCGTACTGGCAAACCCATCGCGAAGAGGGCAGTACGTGCGACTTTGGTGGGGCTGCCCACTTGCTCGCGCTGCCCAGTGCCTCGAGCGCAGCGCTTCAGCTGGTTGAGGTCTCGTGGTCGTTCAGCAGTGACGTGTCCACGTGGACACTCGTTGCGGGTGTTATTGCAGGCGCTAGCGGATTGACTGCTGCTCTTCTGGCGCTTGTGCGGCAGCGAAGACGAGGAGAGTACTCGCCGTTGCTCGGGCACGTGGTGCGTGGGAGTGTCTAAGTGAGAAGTAAGTACTTGTTCGAGTGGCACGCGGTCGCTGTCTACATCTGTCTGTCTGTCTGTGTACATGTCAACGCGCAAGGCGAAGGAGCGAGAGGATACATACACACACACACACACACTCTGAGGCGATCGCTCTTTGCATTGAACACGAAGAGCTTCGATCGCACATCGCCCCCGCAGCCGTTTGTGCTGCACGTTACGTTTGACGCTTTATATGCCGAGAAGAAGTTCTGCACAAAGTGTTGGAAAGCGACGCGGGCAGTGAAAGCACACGAGTGCAATGTGCAAAGCCGCTGACGAACGTCACGTCGTCGGGCACTGTCTGTGATCGAGCGACTTGGGATATGGCTAGCGGCTTCCACGTCGATCTAAATGAGCGATAGGATCTCAGCGACGCGGTGGCGTGAGTGGCCGTTGTTTACATAAAGAGACAGTGACCCGACGAACAGTCGAAGGCCAAACTTTGGGTGGCGACGTTCCACGAGGAGAAGCAGTCGGCGCTTTCCAATCCAACCGCTCTGGCAGTTGCGTCACAAAAGGCCACTCACTCACTCACTCACTCACCCACTCACTCGCTCACTCCGTCCGTCCGTCAGCCAATGACGCAGTCGACCCCTCCGCCGGCGGTCAAGTGGCCCCTCACGTGCTGCCGATCTTTTCCTTTCCACTCCGCCGCTTGGAGCCGCACATTGGCTGATCTCGTCCCCTCTCTCACGCCGCCTCGATCGAAGACTGCCGCGCGGAAGATCGTAATAGGGTCATTTCCGTAAATCTCCATCCTCATCTCATCGGCCTCGCAGCTGGACGCCTCGCTGACACTACTACGTTCACTATACGGCTAGATTTGTAGTTTTCGAGCTAGACCGCCCCCAGTCTCGTTTTCCAGACCAAAGACGGGCAACAAGATCCGCCCGCGTCTTCTTCTTCTACTTCGACGTCACTTTCCTTTTTGCGCGGTCGAGCGCACGCAGCTCTGCACGGGCCCAGTTTTCGACCAATCACAAGGCCGCATCCGAATGGTTTGGTCTCCTACCAAGACGACCGCCGCGCTGTGCGCCCTACTGGCAGCCGCCGCGTCGCTGCCGTCGCGCGTCGTCGTCGTCTCGGCCGACATGACGTCGCTCGACCATCACCACCACGAAGCGCACGTAGGCGACGTGGACGCAGCTGCGACCGGTGACGCGCTGCACGCGCGCGATGCAGCGGGACCGACCGACGGGCCGCAGGACGAAGAGGGCGCGCCCGACTACAAGTGGTACTGGCACCACGGCGAAGACTCGATGTTCGCGCAGGACAGCGGCGTGTTTACGAACTTCAAGCCGAACGACACGGACCAGACGTGCTCGCAAGACACGCACGCGACGCCGTTCAACAAACAGGTGCGGGGCGTGAACCTCGGCGGGTGGCTCGTGCTCGAGCCGTGGATCACGCCGACGCTGTTCTACCAGTTCCTCAACACGCAGCAGCGGTACGGCGACAAGGCGCCCGAGAAGACGGCCATGGACATGTACACGTTCTGCACGGCGCTCGGGAAAGAAGAAGCGAACCGCCAGCTGCGCATCCACTACGACCGGTGGGTCACGGAGAAGGACATTGCTGCGCTCGCGGAAGCCGGCATCAACTCGCTGCGAGTGCCCGTGGGCGACTGGATGTTCAACCCGTACGAGCCGTTCGCTGGCTGCACAACTGGCGCCGTTGAAGCGCTCGACCGCGTGGCGGACCTCGCGCTCAAGTACAACATGGACATTCTGCTGGACATCCACGGCCTCATTGGCTCGCAGAACGGCTTTGACAACAGCGGCAAGTCCACGGCCGTCAAGTGGACGTCCATTGCGAGCACGCAGCCCGTGGGCACAACGACGTTTGAGCACTGGCCGATCCGTCAGGCCGAGTGGGCCGGTACGTTTGACGTGGAGAACCACAACTACACGAGCATCAACTACGCGAACCTCAACCACTCGATCGTGACGGTCGAAGCCATCATCAATCGATACAAGGGCCACGAAGCCATCATGGGGCTTGAGCCCGTGAATGAACCGTGGGAGCTCACGCCCATCAAAGTGCTCAAGGAGTACTACTGGAAGTCGTACAAACGTGTCAAGGTGCTTGCCCCGTCGTGGAAGTTTGTCATCCACGACTCGTTCCGGTTCGGGTTGCCGTTGTGGGCAGACTTTCTGCACGGGTGTCCCGACATCGCCATGGACACGCACATTTACCAGGCGTGGAATCCGCCTGGCACGATGGCTGACTTTAACTCGAACGCTTGCCAGCAAAAGTACGTCATCAGCAAGATGGAAAACGCCTTGATGCCCGTGATCGTCGGCGAGTGGTCAGTCGGTACTGACAATTGCGCCATGTGGCTGAACGGCTTCAACGACAATTTGCCGGGCTTCCCGAAAGTCCAATGCCACATGATAGACTGCCCAGTGAACAGCACGTATCTCGGGGAAGGGTTCCCGGGCACTCCGCTGGACACGACCAAGCCCATCCAGGGACCGTACGGCACGGGCATGTCAGGTCCATCGTTTGGCAAGTGTCCTGTGAACAGTCAGAGCTCTTTCAGCCAGAAAGACGACGCTGCGTTGACCAGGTCGTTGACGCTGAAGAAGCTGAATGGTTTCGCTGTGGGCCACGGATGGTACTTCTGGAACTTCAAGACGGAGTTTGCCACGAAGTGGAGTTTCTTGGACTTGGTCCGCAACGGTGCGTTCCCCAAGAACGTATCGCACTACCACGAAAGCGACGGTGTGCAGTCGGTCTGCGTGAAGGAAGACGAAGGTGACTTTGTGTGCCGTGCCAAGCGTGGTGTTCAAGAATATGAGCTCAAGAGCGGGCTCGCGTTCGCCTGCAACTTCCCTGACATCGACTGCTCGGACATCGAGCAGCGTTTCGACACGCTGGAAGAGCAGTGTGACTGGGCGTTCGACCAGTACTGGCACTACAATCGCGAGAAAGGTGCGACTTGCGATTTCGGCGGTGCTGGTCACCTGTTGAACGTGCCAGGCACGGCGGCTTCGAAGCATCCGTCTTCCCCGACGTCTCAGAAGCTCAAGGCGCAGCAGCCAGACGACTCGTCGATGCCCGTGGCCAAGTGGGGTTTTGCAGCCATCATGGGCGTCGTTGCCCTCGCCCTGATTGTGGTTGGCGGTGCAGCCTTTGCCGTGATGCGCTGGCGTCAGCAGCGTGCGCGTCGCGAGTACTCGCCCATCGCTGGTCGTTCGTAGGCCAAATGCGCTGCTGGACGTCTTTTGACACTGAAATGGCGCTCGCATAATTGAGAAGGACCAGCCGAGAAGAGTGAGTAACGGAGGGGCGTGTAGCGTAAAGCCGTAGAGGTCGTCCATCATGCCAGTAAAGGAACCAATGAAGTTGAAGGCAAAAGGAGCAGCACTTTTCGATCACCGAAGCGCGCTGCTTCGAGGCAGATCGTTGTACGTGTGTTTGCATTACATGTCTGTCACATTATGCGATATGCTCGTGTCGTCTGTGTCGTGTCAGATACGAGTACATTGTCACCACCAGATATGCTGCCACGACCTCGATCACACCTTATAATGCAAGCGAGAGGCAAATGCTGACCCAGAGAGAGAAAAAGGATAGGAACAGCAGAGAGGAGTACCGGACGGAAAACGATGACGTAAAGAGGACGACGCGATGGTCTGAAGGAGCGGATACGTCAACGAGCGTCAAGCGCAACGATTCGCTGTTACGTGTCGTTGCGATGTGAAGGAGACCCACAAGAGCCAACACGAGAACGAAGACAGTGAGCTCGCGCTTCGCTTCTTGAGACTACCCGACTACTGCGCCAGGCTCCTCACAAACTTACAGAGACACGCGCGTTCACACTGTATTGCATTGGTTTCTGGATCACGCATACCACTCAGTGCCGACTACACTCTGGCAGTGCGTGAAGTTCACTACGAGCTGACAAACCCAACCTGTGACCGCCGACGCGCTGTCGCCGTATCGAAGTATGATCCAAAGACGACACGTGTGTACCACAGAAGTTGCTGAGACGACGAAACACGTGCTGCTTCTTGCCAAGGACTTGTTCACGTGGCGTGTCGACCTATACGGTCTATGAGTGCTGCTCAGGTACTTGGAGCTTCCACAAGTCGTTGTTCCTCGCGGCCGCATATGACTCTTCCCGGCCTTGACAACATGTGTGGGTGCACGACGCTATTTTTCTCACTTGAGACAGAGTGCTCGAGTCGTAAGCAAAGGCGTCAAGCAGTGGCTCTGCTGGGTCTTCAGTACCGATAGAATAACTGGAAGCTCTGATCTCCGTCCAGAGTTTCCAGTCAACCTCTTACTCATCGCAGGACACAGCTGACCCAACGACGTCATCATCACTTGCTCGGGGGCAATGCAGGATGGATCGCTGTTGCACGAAGGTCGTTGAGCTGGACGCACCCGTGTCATTTCTATCAACACACGAACCCCACACCCCCACCGATGCATTTCTAAAAAAACCCACCACCACGAATCGGCGACACCGAACAACACGAGACAACACGCGACAAGACGAGCAAACGGATTATCCGGAACCACCCAACAATCCATCGAACAGTCGACCGATCGTCCAGCGACACAAAACAGCGCCCTGGGCGTCCCACTTCTGTCGCCCCCCACCCATTCCGTCCACGAAATCCATCCGCGAAACGTCAGCCATTCAATACGTAGCGCCCGCACACGTCGCAGCGCCAGCGCCTCCCGCCGTCCCGACTCACTCTTGCTATCGTCCAGGACGACGTACGCCCACTGCCGATGCTCCCGCTCGCTGTGTCTCTCCGTCTCGCCGGCCGCGCTGCGGCCCGCCGCGCTCCGTCCGCCGCCGCGTCTCGCAGTTGGCCCGCGAGCGCTCTGACAGCCACTCAAACGGTACAGTCAGTCCAGTGGATGTCGTCGTCTTTGTCGTCTTGTGCTTCTCTCGACTACAGCACCGACAGCGCTGCAGTCGCGACGAGGCGACGACGACGACGACGACGACGCGTCGCGCTCGACGCCCACCGCTGTGGCGCTGGACAAGGGCTTTGTCGACCAGCAACCGCTCGAGGAGTTCAACCTGTCGCTCGAGACGCAGCGCAACTTGCACCGCGCGGGTGTGACGCACCTGTTCCCTGTGCAGACGCAGTCGTTCGACGTGATGATGAAGGGCGCGGACATTATGGGCCGCTCGAAGACAGGCTCGGGCAAGACGCTGGCGTTCGCCTTGCCAATCATTGAGACGATCGTGGCGAACCGCAAGACGTCGCGCAATCCACAGGCGCTGGTGCTGCTGCCCACGCGCGAGTTGGCGCAACAAGTGCACGACGAAGTGCACCGCGTGGCGCCGCAGCTCAAGATCGTGAACGTTGTCGGTGGGGTCTCGTACACCGTGCAGGAGAACCACTTGCGACGGGGCGTCGACATCCTCGTGGGCACGCCGGGCCGCATCATGGACCTGGTGAACAAGGGGTCGCTGTCGCTGGACGACGTCGACGTGTCCGTGCTGGACGAAGCAGATATGATGCTCAAGTTTGGCTTCCAAGAAGCCGTCGAGACGATTTTGGGCTGGGTGCCGGAAGGCGGGCAGACTGTCATGTGGTCGGCCACGTTCCCCAAGTGGGTGAGCTCCATGGCCGCCAAGTACCTGAAGACGCCCGTGTCGATCGACCTCGTGGGCGACGTGGACAACCAGGTGCCGACTACTGTCACGCACAAGGCGATCAACGCGCCGATGCGCGATCGTATTCAGGTGCTGGAGAACGTGCTGCGGCTGCACGCGCACGACGGCAAGACGTTGGTGTTCACCGAGACGAAGAAAGAAGCGGACGAGATTGCCAACTCGTTGGCTGGTCAAGACGCGCGGGCGCTGCACGGCGATCTCTCGCAGGGCATGCGGACGTCGACAATGAACGGCTTTCGCAGCGGCCACGTGAAGACGCTCGTGTGCACGGACATTGCAGCTCGCGGCCTCGACATTGCCAATGTAGAGCTGGTCGTGCAATACCGTCTGCCGAGCGACAAGGAGAGCTTTGTGCACCGCGCGGGACGCACAGGGCGTGCTGGGCGGTCCGGGACGAACATTGTGTTTTTCGATCGCCGAGACGCTGGCGATGTGCTGGACTTTGAGCGTCGGTACAAGTTCAAGTTCACGCACGCAGCGTCGCCTCGTCCCGAGCAGATGATGGAAGGGGCTTTGGAGGACGTGCACAAGCAGTTGGCGTCGCTGCCCAAGGCGAACGCGGAGCTGTTTGAGGAAGCAGCCACGACGATGATTGACGAGCAAGGACCAGGGGCGCTGAGCGCAGCGCTCGCCCTGCTGTGCGGTTTCGACGCGAAGAAGCTCGTGACGCTCTCGATGCTGACGGGTCGCTTCCGCATGCAGACCGTGCAAGTGGAAGGCATTGACAGTGCACGCGAACTGAACCGACTGCTGTCGTCGTTCATGGACGAGCGAGTGGATGTGTACCCGGTGGAAGATGGCAAGCTCGTGTTTGATATCCCGCAAGGACAATTGGGCAAGTTGCAAGAGCATTTGACTGCTGCGTCGCCCGGTGAAGAGGTGACTGTGACAGCAGCTGTGGAGTTTCCCCGCATGGTGATTGACCGAGCCGACCGCAACAGCACTGGCAGTAGCCGCTTTGGCTCTCGAGGGTTCTCGAAAAACCGATTCGGAGACAATCGACGTGATGGAGGAGGCAGCAGTCGCTTTGGAGGCTACCGACGTGACAGTGGCAGCAATTGGAAGCGCAATGACCGCGAAGGTGGCAGCAGCAATTGGAAACGCAACGACCGCGACAGTGGGTTTCGCCGCAGCAGCAGTCGGGACGCTGACTCGTCGTTCTCGAAAAGCCATTCGTCGTCCCGCAGCAACTTTGGCCGCTTTACGGAGTCGTGGTAGAGCTGGCAAGTGTCTGCGTTGGCGAAGCGCGGTGTTCATACGCCATGACTGTATTTTAGATAGGAAGAAGCACAGCTTGCCGTGCGTCGAGATGCAATGAGCATGTGGCTGTGATTTTTGATTTGAATTCAAGTAGCAATGGGATGTTCCGCCACCGACCACTTCGTAGAGACTCGAACGGGTGCAGTTCGACGACTCGGTCTGATGATACCTTTTACGTGTTTGGGACTTGGTCACATCAGTTTTGTTGCAACAGGACTCGTGTAGATACGCTACAGCCGTTACAGGTACACGATGTGAGCTGTTCGACAACGGTATCCCTCGTCGATACTAAACATAGCGGCAACACGCCAACAACAACATGTCATTGACGTCAATGCCGTTTCTTGCATTGCTGCTACTGCCTGTCACGTGCGTTTGGCCCAATTGTGGTTGTTGTATTGCTACTACGGCAGATCTGCGGGTCGTTCTTTGCAGCTGACCACGCGTCTTGTTCCTTTTGTGTGACCATTGAGCTTGTACGTGCGCTGGTCAATACAGCATCAACAAGCTCGCTTATCCACAGTATCAAAGCTCTGCACGAACAGGCAGGTAGGACGGATTGACCCATTTGCCGTCTGTGGCTGAGCATCCATCACTCTCTTCGACACGCCTTCCTATGTCGCTCGCTACTTGGCAAATGGACAAATGCATCTTCTCCCGTTCATCTGTCCTCTATGTGTCCCATTCGCTCACTCTTTGTCGGTGCATTGCGTGTTCCGAAGTAGTCGATCGACGTGACGAGCAAAAAGCACGTGCAGAGTTTTATCATCCGAGATCGGAATGAGTCCACTCCATCACACGACACACAAAAGCTCTTGGCCCTGGAGAATGTGCAGATTATCTCATAGTGTAGAAGAGCTAACGCGTTGTGTTCAAACTCGGATTGCAGTGCGACAATGCTCATAAGCAGTGGCAAATGCTGTCTGTTGTCAATGATTTGACGAGGTCGAAGAAAAAGGGAGAGGTGCTGTGCTGTTCACAGCCGTCGTACCAAATGCGTGTGAAGAAGAGAAAGAGGCGAATCGGAGGTCGTCGTCGGTGTCCAGGAGCTGCAAGTGAAGAAGGAGGCCACAAGTCGTCCAACGTGCCCGTCGATGTGTGTGACATGAGTTAGTGCAGTTGATTTAGCATCGCAGTAAGAGTATAACGCTATTGACTGCAGTGCACACCCACGAGATACAGCAGGTACGCCACCAACATCACTAGCGTTTCTTGCAATAGACGTAGTTCAAGGAACACTTCGAAAGCCGTCCTATCGGTTGGTGATGCAGTGGGGCTCCAACGAGACCGTCTCAGATAGCTGACGCGAAAGGAAGCGGTAGGACAAGTCGAACGAAGACGGAATGACGAAGAGGTATGGCATACTATTGCAATGCAATCGATCTCTCGCCTTCAGACTTTGACGTAGTCATTATGCAAACATTATTGATGGACGAGAATTCATCGTAACGGATGATCGATACTGATTCGATCGTCATTTTCCGACGGAAGATAATGATCAAGAAAGGACGTTACGATCACAACACTGTCAACGACAGTCGAAACAACGGTCTCAGGATAAGCGTATCGACAATCGCCGTCTTGCGCATGTCGACCGTAGACGTTTGTTCCTTCTCAACAGCGTCGAGTCTGAAGTCAGGCGGAACGAAAGTAGTTCAGACGACGACCGATACTGAACAGCGCGAGGCGTGAGAGGCACGGAGGAGAAAGTGTTTGTTGCTGTAGCGTTCAACTCTTGGATGCGTGACATAACGGCCTCCTACACTGGTTAATGATGGATGGATCCTACTCCACGACCAAGCTACGACTAAGCGAAGAACAATTGGATGGAGTGATTGATGGATGGTTGATGGATAGATGGAATTAGATGAAGCATTCAGGTAGGCACGGTAGGCTAGCATGGTATTGAATACACTCTCAATTTTACCTTTGACTCCGCAAGACCCTCTCAAGCAAGGCTCGCGGACCGATCACCCCTCTGCAAGCCACGAGTGTGTCATTTTGATACATCAAATCTGTGCAAGATCGGAGAAGGAAACAAGGTGTCAACAGCATGGGACGCCAAGATGAAGACGAGTACGTCACCTACACCATGATGATAACACCCGCAAGTGCCGACTTCCCCGCCGATACGGCAACAATCAAGATCAAGAAGTTCGCAGGAGGATCCCCACGTGAGTGGCTTCGCTGGAGCAACCAATTTCGTCGCCTCGCCCGAAAGAAGCAGTGGACCGATGAGCAGAAGGCACACAACATGGTCGCGCTTATTGACGGCAACCTCGCAACGGAAGTCGAAGTGATAGCTCAAGACGCAGTTGAGCACGGAAGGACTTTTGAACAGTTCTTTACGGATGTGGGATTACTATCTGTCCCGCACGACTACAGTGAAGACTTGGACAACGAACTATGGACAATGGTGAAGCGACGAGATGAGACTGTGCTCAAATTCTCGCAGCGACTCAGAGAAAACATTCGGTTGTTTGCTGAGCTGCCACAGAATGCTGAAGAAATTCCGGAGGTTCAGCAATATCGCTACTTCAAGCGCGGAATGCCCCGAGCATGGCAAGATAAGTTGTCTGCAGCAGGAGTCGTATTCGACCACCTCAATGAACTTGTCCTGTATTTCACCCGGATCGAAAAAGACGAGCGACAGCCGATCACCCGTGACAAGAAACCAAACACTAACGAATACAGCAACATGCAGAGAAAGACTCAGCGCAGAGTACACGGGCAACGGGAAGTACAGAAGAACCGGCGAGAAGAGCCTAAGGAAAAGGCACGCAGTCGAGGAGACAACCATCACAAACGTGACACTTGGTGTTCGTTTCACAAGACAGCTTCGCACAATACGAGTGACTGTTATACTTTGAAGAAAAAGCAATCGGAGGAGAACAAGAAAAACGAAGCACGGTCGCACAAACATCGCACACTGAACCCGAAGTACCCCCGCATCTCAAGAAGAGATAATCTTGACTCCGAATCGGAGTCAGAATCGGATGCGGCAGGGCAAGAGCAAGAGCTCAAGTTCGTTGGTTTAGTGGAAAAGGACAGAACTGTTACCAGTGCACCATTACGCATCATGGTCAAGCTGCATCGCAATCAAGATGCTATCGAAGCTCTGCTCGACAGTGGAGCATCTAAGAGTATTGTCAATGGTGCGACACTTGCTAATATTGTGAAGCCGGGTCGACAGAATGTTACGACATCACCCACTATCTTTGACACTATGCGCGGCGCAGTACCAAGCAATGGAACGGTGGTGACACTATTCTTCTTCCCACAACTAAAGCCAGACACAATCGTCACACACCAATTCGAAGTGATTAAATCGAGCAGCGATAACATGGTTATTGGAAGAGATGTCATGAATGCACTAGGACTGGTTTTGAACTTCAAAGACAGGTTGGTGCAATGGGAAGACTGCTTGCTCCGGCTAAACACAGGGCAAGAGAAATCGAAAAGACCCAAGGTGGACAACGAAGACCTCGAGTTTCAAGACGAAATGAAGGAAACACCCACAACAGGAGTCCAGCCAGAGACTTTCTTTCCTCATCATCTTGACCCCAACATGAAGACTAAATGCTTGGCATTACTAATCGAGTACAAAAGGCTTTACGACGGACATCTTGGACGAATGCGCTTTCCGGACTACGAGCTGCCTATCCAACCGGATTACAAGCCCGTTCATTCAAAGACCTACCCCATCGCGCGCAGCCAGGAAAGCAAAGCCAAGGAGACCATTCAGCGGCTTATCAGTGCTGACGTTCTAGAGCAAATTTATGACGCACAGATGGCATCACCCGCGTTTTTCGTCTCCAAGACAGATGGTTCACTGCGTCTGCTTAACGCCTATCGTGGGCTTAACAAGTATCTACAAAGGAGCTCATACTACGTCCCGCGCATTAGAGAAATCCTTATGCGTTTGTCCAACGCAAGGTGTCTTTCAACGTTCGACGAAAACCATGGATACTATGCCCGACGACTAGCTCGAACAAGCCGCCCATTGACAGCGTTTTGTTTGCCCTTCGGCAAATATCAAAACAAGCGACTACCGATGGGTATATCGACAGCCCCAGACGAATACCAAGCGTGCATGGATTGTATCTTTGGTGACCTGCCATTCATCGTGGTGTATCTGTATGACCTGCTAGTATTTTCCAGTACAGACGAAGACCATCTCTCTCATTTGCGCATCCTCTTCGAGCGACTGCAGACCTACGGCGTTTCGCTAAATGGAAGAAAGTGTCATATTTGGTGCAAGGAGGTTGATTAACTTGGGTTTACGCTATCGGCCGATGGAATGAAGCCTCAAGAAAAGAAAACCCAGGCCATTCAGAAGATCACAGTGCCACGCAACTGAAAAGAGCTTCAACGTTTCTTAGGCATGATCAACTATTACCGCGACATGATTCCGAACAAGACAACCGTATGCAAGCCGCTATATCGGTTTACAAGCGCCAAGGTACCCTTTACATGGCTACCCAGCGATACGAAGGCCTTTCACGACATCAAGCGTGCGTTTGCAGAGGTCGTCCTGTTAGCGTTCCCTAACTTTAAGGAGCCGTTCCATGTCTACGCGGATGCTAGCGGAACTCAGATCGGTGGAATGATAATGCAAGGCAACAAAATTCTGGCACGTTACTCGCTCAGTCTCACCAAGCACCAGATCAACTATACCACCATGGAGCTGGAGCTCCTTTCAATCGTTGAGCTGTTACGCGAATACCGAACGATGCTCCTCGGATTTCCCGTCGTGGTCCATACGGATCACAAAAACTTGATTTACCCCAATGAGAAAAGTCTTCGAGTGAAGCGATGGAAGTTACTCCTCTCTGAGTATCGCCTGACAATGACCTATATTAAAGGCGAGAAGAACATCGGAGCAGATGCTTTCTCACGCATGCGATTTGCAACCAGTGAAGGTACATCAATCGACGACGAAGTTTACAGGCTCAATA